TAATAATTTACATTCCTTACTAACTGAAAAAAAAAACTTTATTATATCAGTAAACCAGACACTTAAATATTTTTCTTTTAAGTGAATGCTGATGTCTTTATCACAGACAAATAAGCAATTCCAAAACAAAGTTGCAATTTTGATATATGCTGTTTTAAAATATCATGCTCCTTTTAGGGATGTATATCATTCAGCTGGACTGCTGGTGAGCTTTTCCCTTCAAATGTATGGGAGAGGCGGAGAACAGCTATCCCCTTCATTCTGGGGCCTTTTGCCTACCAGCAATGATGTTCTAGTGAATAATCAGTCTGTGAATATTGTCCTCCTTTCACTGCTGCCCAATACTGATATTCATAATGACACTGTTGACTGAGTCTAAGATAAGGTGGGCTTTTCACTAACAGAGATATGGTAAATATATTTGGTGATGTAGTCTCTACAGAGAGACAGAAACATTCATTTTTTTAAGTAAAAAAAGTTCTTTTTCAACATTGTAAATCATTTACAGTTCAAAGTCTTACCTGTTATGCCTCTTACTTTTTGTTTTCAGAGATGTGATTTTTATCTGAAAACTGAATCATGAGGTTCAGATAAGTTATCTTGAATTAAAGTGTCTTTGCTATTTTTTCATTACTTTATGCTGAAATAAAGTTTTGGGTTTTTTGTTGAACATTTCAGCTATTACTTCAAATCTGTTTTAAGTGGATTCTAAACCCCTGGAGGAAAGACTCTGACACAGTGATTTTTTTCAACGAAGATGCCTGATAAATCCTTCTTAGCCCATAGACCCCTCCATAATCTGGTATCCATTTTTTCCTGTGTTTATCCTCATTTTCTGCTTTTTTTCCTGCATGCAACTTTCTCTCTATTGGTAGATCTATAGTTGCCTCACCCTGGTCACTGCCTGGAATGCCTCTTTCTTTTTTTTAAATTAACTTTTACTGCTTTTTCAAACCTCAGTTCAAGCATCTCCCTCCTAGGTAGTCTTTTGTGTAATTCCTCCCTCCAGATGTACTTAGCTGCCTCTCCACACTCCACAGTGGTCCCATGGCCCTAGTACACACCACTATCAGAGTATTTACTCTATTTGTTCCTTAACGAAGCACTGACCTCCTTGAAAGAATCAAGCCTGTATAATTTCTCATCCCCAGTTCTTGAGCATGGTAATCAGAATGTAGTAGATGCTCAAGAAATGTTTTCAATGAACCAATAAGTGAATTTTATTGATTAATAAAATTATATATGCATCTTTTTACATATAATTCAAGCAATTCAATCTGTTTAATTTCCTACCTTCAGTAAGTTTAGCTGCTTTAACTTTCATAGGTCCATTTACTTACACACAATTTGTGTTACTTGTGTTACTAAAATCTAAAGATTAGATTTGAGGATAATACAAAGGAACATTAGACTTTAAAAGAAAAGTCAAGCTACTATTATATCTGTGGCTTATTCTTTAATTTATTCAGTCAGCATTTATTGAACACCTTCTATGCGCCAGTTATTGGATTAATAGCTAGAGGAAATAAAGATGAGTTAGATACAGTTACTTCCTTTGATAAACTTTCAGTCTGGAGGGACAAACATAAGTAAACAGATGGTTATAGTTCCATTTGAGAACTCATATGGGAGCATATAAGAGGTCCCCCTGAATAAAAATAAAATAAGAATTCATTGCTTCTTTATGTCCCAAATGAAGAAAAAGCCTGGGCGCAAAGTGCAAAATACATTTCTATATGTTTCCATAAATCACTCAGCTGAGAACAGAGAAAACCTAAGTTCTGCCAATAAATCAGTTAGGTCTACTTTCTCTAGCAGAGCAAAGAGGCGTCTATATCCTCCTTTAAGTTAACTATAGGATCAGCAATATTAAAGATGAAACATTCTGGAAGTTTTTTAAAATTAGAATTCTTGTAGTGAACAATTAAAATTTTGTTTTACCTGGTCTGTAGGAAGAAATAGTATGGGAAACACAATAGAGAATATAGAAATCTAGTCTTTCTTTGTTATAATATTGATTTTTTCTTATATCTGTGGAAATGATTATGATGCTTTCACTAATAGACTACTTGGCATGCTTTCTTTGCAAGCTAGTCAGTCAGTCATAATAATATCTCTTTAGTGCTTTTTAGTTTTCAAAGTCCATCCTTATTCATTATTTATTCCATGTTAACAATGACCTTGTGAGAGATAGGTTTACGAGGTGCTTTAATCCCTGTTTTTTAATGTAAGGTATTGAGACCCATCTGCCTGAGATGACACAGCTAATAAATGATGGTTGGGATTAGAACCCAGTTTAGGCCATTAAAAGAAAACAATTTTAAGAATTATCATATTTTATTACATTTTTAATACTTGTGGACACTCATAATCAGATTTATTTAATCTAAAAATACCGTTTTTTTCCCTAGATATAATAGTGTGTGAAATCTTTTATGGAAAAAGCTGCTCTTAGTAAAGAGGTCTTCATTCTTTAGCCTCATCTGCTTTTCATCATATATGAAACAGTGATTGAACACCTACTTTTTGGCAGGCACCGTTTTAGACACTGGAAAGTAGACAATAAGATACAATATCTGCTCACCAACTTCTCAGTTATCAATGTAGGAAATAGTTAAGCAGAATGCTGCACAGTAGATTTGATTTACAATAAAACTGTGAGCAGTGCTTTGTGAATGCACAAAGGAAGGAATGCTTAGTTCTGTCCTCTAAAAGGAGCAACATGAATGTTCTATGGTCTTTTGTAATGCTTATAAAAAATCAACTAGAGTATAGTGGGGAAACTCGTGGATAAAAATATATAAAATCCACTATTTTTTAGATGAGATTTCACAATGCTAAAGCTTAAGAACAAAGTGTGCCTTCTTCTGTGTACCTCATTATATGTATTACAAAGACTACAGAGTCTGCAGAAGAGAAACATTTTGATACTTACGTTAAAAAATTGGTGACATTAGAAAATTGCCATGGCTACGTAAAAACCCAGTTTTTCCTTTTCTTCTTTAGCAAATTGCTAGCTAAGTTCATTTGTATAAAGAACTTAAATTCCATTCTCCCATTATCTGGCTTTATATTCCCTTGTAAGACTCAAGTCTTTCTTCAATTCTAATTGAAGGTTCCATATCCCAAAGGTATTGTTGAGTTATACTAAATTACTTTCCCATAAAAGACTGTTCTCTTTTTCCTTGGGAAGTATTTATTTTCCAGTTTTTCAAATCTAATTATTTGAATATGTATGTCAACTTTCAGGAAGTAGATAGTAGTAATTGGTAATTATTTAGAATAGTTTAATGAATGTTATCATTAAAACATGGATCTTGTAATCAGAGTGATATAGGGAAAGAAATTTTGCTTTGCATTAAGAAACATGGACCAGGTTTACTAGATGATTTTGTAATTTTGGACAAGATACTTCACTTTCCTGTGCCTCCGGTTATCAATCTTTAAAATTTAGAATTGGGTTGCATGATCTAAATGTAAGATTCTTTCATTTTCTAGATTTATACTATTCTGTGAACATGAAAGATTTTTTAAAAGATGTCTAACAACTGGATGTGGGAAAACTCATCTGATCTTAACCTTTGTGTTCTTTAATTGATCACAAGTTTATATTCAATACTCTAGTACTGTGCCATTAACAAATTAGGGCCAGTGGATTTTAGTCATTATGGGGCTTTTAAAGGCTATCAAATTAATTACCTGCTATTATTTCTGTGTATGCTTGTGTCTACATAGTAGTAAATGAAGTAGAGAGTTACTTTAGTCATCAAATTAAGGTAAACTAACCACTAGGAAGATAAATTGTCTGGATTAGATCACTTGATCTAAATTCAGACATGGATTCAAATCCCATCATTTTGCCTCGAAAGCCCAGTCTGAAGCACTAAGTTCTACTTCTTCTCAAATGTGTATTAAAAAGCACCATTCATCTTGGTATTCTTTTTAGAAAGGTGTTTCCTCCAACTGTATGGGTGTGCTGCCTTTTTTGTTGTTATTGTTGAGTGTTTTTCTTCCTCTGATAGTGAAATTTTACTCAGATGAAATTTATAAGGCAGTTGAGTGTTGTGGGAGGAATAAAAGAAGAAAAATTGTTTTCTAGGCCTAGTTTTGCTGTGGTGATTCAGCCAAATCACTTTGCTCTCTGAGTCT